GGGGGTGGGAAAAGGGGAGAGAAAACTCACTGACAAGAGGGTAACATGGTTAAATATACAAACTGGGGTTTAAATACATGCAAATTACTTCAGAAATCAAATATCTCTGTACTTAATAAGGATTTTACAAAACAATCTCTTCTGTTGAACTGAGATCCCCAAAGACCATCCAAAAAACTAATTTAAGCTAGAACCTATTTATCTTGAATCAATACATAGATCCCCTCGTCTCATGTGACTTCTGACCAGGGTCTATAGGTTATGGTCCCTAGTTAATTATTCTAAATAATATTCTTGGTTATTCTTTAGTTCCTTGTCAAACTTTACTTCTGCCCGGTCTGTAGGGTTATGGTCCCTGGTTACTTATGTCCCGGGTCTGTAGGGTTATGGTCCCTGGTTAATTATCTTCTAAATCATGTTCTTCGTTACTTTCTTCTGGTTCTTGCTGAACTGAACTCATGTTCCTGAGTATTTCTTCTTAGGCTCTATAGAGACGCTCACTGGAATTATTTGGCTAAAATTATATTAGGTTCTATCTATATCTCAATTTGTTAGTTTGGTCTCAAGGTTCTGTTCTCCCTAAAAGATTTCAATAATAAAAAATTCAAATTACTAAATTGATTTCTGTCATTATTACATGTTTTACAAAGTTAAAATACTATTTCTATTTACATGGGTAAGTTTAGGTCTAATATAGCAATCAACCTAACCTCTTGGAAAAAAGGATAGATGGTTTAACAATCTCTATAAAGTCCCTGCTCGGAACTTCCGGACCAGTCGGCATCCGAAAGGGAACTAATCGCATCAATTCGTACCCAAAATCCGGAACTCGAAAATATCGCGAAAGCATTTTCTCCCCTGGTTTTCCCAACTCTTTTAATAGCATAGCCAAAGGGGAATTTCCCCCGATATATATGAGACCTCTACTGAACGTGTTTGATCGTTCGTAACGGCGATGCCCATGCAGATCACAGTGGTCATGAAGGACCAATAACTCTGCTTGTATCGAAAGAGGGAGGGGTAATTTCGGTATTATTGTCTTTTGGGGAGCAAAATTCCAAAATGTAGCCCGTTCATTTATTCTTATTGTAACTGCTAAATTGGAATGTATGTGGTGTATAACGATGTCCCGAAGGGTAGCCGGCTCTGTTGGTGGTAATTCCGTTGTACAAATCGCGGTGGCGTCAAAATACCCGCGAGGTTGTTCATCGCATGTTTCTTCTAGTTGAAGGCAGAGATTGTTGTAGTACTTCCTTCCTAAACGAAATATTCATAAATAAGGTTTTATTGATCGTTTAAGTATTAATAGCCTTATTAATTGCCTTAATGTACTATAGTAGTTTACAGAAATTGTTTTAACATAAACAATCATAAATTAATATTCTATGACTATCTTCACCCACAAAAAAACTCCCTATCTACTCAAATTACAAACTCGTGATTTTAAGAAAGGAGAGGTTCTTGAAATTTGGGTTACATTTCAGTTTAGTTAGAACTAGCTTGGCTAAAGCTATGGACACCCCCCCTGTACTTTTTAAAGGGGAAGTGTATTTTAATATTTCATTCAGTTTAAGTGCAACTTACGGACGGCTATTTGTTTATAACAATATTGGTTTTAGAGAGATCAAAATGATTATTCCAGTATACGACAGTTCAGAGGAAGAGATTGGCTCAAGTACAGGGGTTCCTGGGCCTAGTACAATGAAACCGAGTATTAGCTCATCTAGTGGCATGCCCTATATAATTCCGGAAATTTCTGTAAAGTTGGCCGATGTTGATTTTCTTAAGGGGGTTGATGTTGACTTCTGGTTGATGTTGGGTTTTATCTTTGCCGGATTATGGTTGGGTTTCAGGGCCCTTGAGATTATGAAAGGTAATTATTTCTATCTTCGGATCTGTTTTCGCCGAGTTCTTCGTTGTATGTAATGAATATCCAGAGACAAACACAGAGAACTCAATCCAAACAAAACCAAAACCCGGGGTAGTTTAATTCCACGTATAAGGGGGGAGTCTGTGCTAAACATCTGAGTAATTAATATGTTGCTTTAGGGTGCTTGGCTGGCTGCCCGAGGGGTAGGCGGGGAAGGGGTGGAAGGGTTGGGGGAGATATAGTTCGTGCTAGACATTCATCCGGGGCAACTACAGCTTCATGGAATGAGGGGAGGAATAATGCTGGTTTTGAAGAGGTGGAATTGCAAGCTATTTCTCCAAGTAAGTGTTGAATATATATTTCTTTGAGAATCTATATTCACCGCCCAGTTAAAGGTGTGGAATTGTGTGTTGAGTGATGTTTGTTTGTGTGTGTGTGTTCGTTTGATTGTGTTTGTAGATAGAGGCCAGTGCCGTAAAATTCGCAAGTTAGTTAAAAAATTTATTTAATGTTATGTGTTATGATTTGTTTGCTCCATATGTGAATGGATGAATTATATCAGGGCGACAATTTTTAATTTTTGTGATAAAAGTAAATTTTGGTTTGAAATATTTACGAAATTTACGCCTAGGTAGCCGTTGGGCCGGGCCGGAAAGCAGATTTTGTAAATTTCGAAAATACTGTAGAAAGCCAGAAAGGGAAATTATTTTATTTTTATTGTTATTGAATTGATGAAAAATTATACGAAAATGGTTTTTAGATTCAGGGTTTCATTTAAAAAAATGAAAACCGTTGATTATAAGATTCGCGAATTTTATTCCTGAGTTGGGCGAGGAAAAGAAAGCTGTGTTAAATGGAACGAGATGCTTTTAGTTTGGCTCGACATTCGCACTATTTTCTCAGCATGGTGCAATGTCTAATTTTCGGCGTTTATTTTGGTTAGAACTTATCAATTTCTAGCTTTTTATCATCTAAATTTGTAAAAAAAAATTTTTAATTTGTGTAGGATCCAGTCGACGGGGCGATGAGGGTTTCATTCGACTAACAAATTAGCACGTGGATATTACTGCGCCAACATGTGGAATGTGGGGCGCGGTTTTATACCTGACGCTGGTAGGATTGAGCCAGGCGGGGAGTTCAGTTGCCCTAGATCCATATCATCGGCCGGGCTTTCACTTCTGAGAGACATCTTGTACAGTGAAAACCTGGAGCAGTGGAACGGTTTATGAAGTCAAACTTGCAGCAGGAGGATTGTTGTCAGAGACACTACCCAACCTGATGTACATATATGTACAGTATAAGGTATGAACAGAACGAAAATATTATTAATTTAATGTTCGAATTTTTTGGTTTGGGAACTAAGCAGACGCAATTTTTTTGAAGGTTTGTTTAATATTTAGTGAAAGATATTTAATAATCATGTGCGAGCTGAAAGACAATATCTTGAAGTTAGACCTATATATCTGGTGAGGTCAATGACAGTCTATGACCTTTACAAGGTACCTAATTGTACCACAGAGCCTGTCATTTTATTTTATTTTATGAATTCCTGCATTTTTTTATGTTTAATTTTCCTTGTGTAATATTAATTTATTCCATATTTTTATTATTTTTTTTATGTTCAAAATTTTAACTTTTTGGTCTTTCAATGATAGTTGATCAAGCAGCTTTACCGAATGTTGAAAATGTTTATTTAAAATCATATTGTACTGCAAGTTTAAATTGGATTTTAAGTTTAGTTTTAGTATTTGATTGGTAGTATTGTTGTAAACTTGAAATTTATTTTAATAAAGGTTTACCTGGATTAGCGGATGATTTAGAGGTTTGTGAATCCGCTGGCAATTTGTTGCTGATGACGTTTGACAGTTTAATCCTGATGTACAGTGTCCAAGGTAATATAACTTGTTATTTTTTTAAAAACATTTTTCAAATTATAAATTTTTTATATCTTTGCATATATTTACGCCATGTTTAATATATTTTGCAAATGGTCCACATCTTGAGCTCTTTTTTTGTTTGGAAAATTCATTTTTTTTGTTTGTTCATTTTTAATTAATTTTGCAGCGTAAATTTGTTGTGGATAATACCAATATGCGGAAACCATGCAAGAAGAAACTTCTTTTGTTTAAATATTTGTTGCGATATTTTGACGTTAATGATGCTGTTTGCAAATTCTTTTTATTTTTGATACTTTGAGGACAATTATGGATTAGGCGTGAAGCATAAAATATTTTTGTGCGCAACTAGTTAACTGTAAGTACGAACATTTGGTCGTATTTCGTCCGCAGAATATGAAATTTTAAAGCGAATTTAAAGTGTTCAACTTAATATCAGATTAGAGGTTTTGTAAGATTGGTTTCTTAACATTTTTTGTTTTTAAATACTGTGTTTTGTTGACCTGGTTTTGGAGTAGTTGCTCGTTTTGTTTTTCTGGTTTTCAATCAGAACTGTTATCTAAATTAGGATTAGTCAATTTATATATCTTTTGAATGTCTTTATTTATGTTTTTCATTCTTGAAACAACATTTCAATCATTTAGAGCCGTTAAATGAGGTGTAATTAAAACCAAGCTGTAACCTTTATCTAGCAGCAAGGTGTAGTTCCAGGTATAATGACCAATGCCAAATTTTTCTTTAATTGGCTTTTTATTATTTTATTTATGGCTCTCTTGGCCGTGTGCAACTGTAGCTATGGGGCAAATTTTTTATCTATATTCGGCTCAATTTAGTTATCTCGGGGTTTACCTGGAAAATTTAGTTCCTAAAGATAAGTTCTGACAACGTATGTAAACACAGATGGAAATGTTAAGATGTACGGGATTGATTCAAATTAAAATAAGACGGAAGTTATCTTTAATGTAGCAAAGGTTGAACACATTTGAGGTGATTTTAGAGAGGGGAAGAACTACCTTGAATTAAATTCAAACGAAATTTTTAAATTTGTTTTGTTAATTATAAATGTTACCAGATTTGTGAAGTGGTTTTTGTTGTAGCTGTTGGAGTGTTACGAGTTTCTGCCGCTATCTATTTCCAACAAGAATTAAGGTTACACATTTTATGAATATTTGTTATTTTGTTTTTAATTAAATTTTACCTAATAAGTTCTAAAAAGCGTGAGAAATTGACCGGATGTCCTTGTGACATTTATCCGCATTTTATTCCAATCTGAAATATGTACAAATAATGATTGATTGATTGAGTTAGTATTTTATTTTTGAATTTTCATTTAAGATTGAATGGTATTAGAAGCTTTCGTTTTATATTAATTTAAAGATAATAAGTTTGAGGCACGGCCTGAGTTTAGTGTAAAGTAAGGCAGAATGTGAAGCTTTTAATACGTGAATATACATTAATTCAATTAGTTAGGGTGGAGATAAAAAATCCTTTTTTTTGTTTTACAGTTTTTCCGATGTTCTCTTATGCCATATTTTTGTTAATTTTTTGTAGTTGGCCAACCATGTTTTTTCAAAAACGTTATTCTTATTTTTAAATTCAGGAAGGATTTTGAGTTAAAATAGATTGTATGGTTCCACCCTGAACTAAATACAGTGTATGATACAAGGTGTGAAGATAGGTCTGGTGAATGTTCAGGCTGACATCTCCCTGAAATATAAACTTACATGATTTTAGTTAGAGTTAAGTTTACTGGTCTTCTATGAGATTGATTTGCAATTTTAATATTATTAAAAATAGTTGGCTTTTTTAAAGCTACCAGGGTGAATAGGGAAATGAGTAATAGGCCGGTTAAACAGGCCAAGGTGTAGGTTATGATTTCATAGAAGAAGGTAGGGGAGAGTGGGCTCAATTTAATTTTTATGTCTTGTAGATCTTCCGCTGTTATGTTGGGCAAGTCTACAGAATCGGCCGCATCGGCGGAGGCAGCTTGGAAGTGAAGTTTTCTACCTTGGAAAGTAATTTCAAATCTTTTTGACGATGTGATATGGAACGGGAGGGGGAATGAGGGGGGGGGAAGTTCATGTTCAATGTTTGCTTCTGGAAGGTTAAAGGGAAGTAGGTTGGAAAAAGAACTCCCGTTAGAGTAGTTTGCGGCCCGACAGATTGTTCTGGGATTATTTCGCAGGAGTCAAGCATAAGTAGTACATTATTATTTTCGATTGCTTGATTACATTTCTCTTCTAGGGGTAAACAGGCGCATCCTGTGTGTACATATGAGTCTTCATAAATACATGAACATTTAGCTAATTTGTCCTCAGTTAAAAAGACATTTGTTGAATCTAAGACAAAACCGAAATATGGGGTAGGAATAAGTGAATATGTGTTTAGACTGTGTCTATATTGTATTACAGTTATGTAAATCGTGAGCCCAGTAGATGAGGCTTTGGTGTAAAGGATGTGTAGTTTTTCATTGGCTACTTTATCAATACATGGAGAATTTTGTATAGCAAGGAATGTATGTGGGGTGTTTATATGGTTGACTGTATTTTCCAATTCCAATAATTCATTATTTAAATACACGTAAATTTTATTTAAATCCAAAAGTGCCTGCATTAAGAGGGCACTAGCCTTTTTTGCTTGACTTTGATTTGAAGTTAAATCTGTTGTGGGATCTGGCAAGTCTGCTACAATAAGGAGGAGCTCATTTATTATATGAGTGGTGAACGAGTTGCTAAATATTTGATAAGTGACTTGGCATGGGTCAGTTTTAGGGGTTTGAGTTCCAAGTATTTTATTACGGCGGTCAAACAAAGTGTTAAGATCCGCATATATACTGTTAATTGTCTTAATTTGTTCTACCATGGTTGGGGGGGGTTTAAGACCAGGAAACCTGAGCTTTTCTAATCCTTTAGTAAAATTTTCTGTTTTGAATAAATTGTGGTCTACCACTTTCAAGAAGAGAGATGTATGAAATTCTGCATGATCTATATTTATTATGATTCTACCTTTTTTAGAATATGGTTGTAGTTCTGATGTTACTGTTGTGATAACTGAGATCAGGCATAGAATTCTTGAACCTACGAGTAAAAAAGAATTAGGTATAGTAACTTTATAGGGGCCAGATTTTAAAATATATATGAAATAGGTCACAAAATAAGCTGTGTAGAAGAATATTTATAATTTGAAATATTTTAATAGGTAAATTATAAGTTATCTACTTTAGTTTTGTTACCAGTTGGTTGGGTTGCTTTGGGTTTTTTGTTGAGACTTAATTTTAAGGGAAAAATTAATTTTACCGTACCATATGGAATCTGAAACCAGGAGGCTTCAGGCAGTCATCTTTTAGAGTGTTTGCGCTGACACAAGTTTGAACTATCCTGACAGCTTGCTGGACCGAGTAGTAAGATAATTCTCCCAAAGCATTGAACACTGGGCCCCTTGGGGCTGTAGTGAGGGGCACACTGGAACCTTTTGAGAAACCAATTAGTCCTGGGGTTGGAAGAAAGGGAATGTCGGTATAAGAACTAGCTTTAAGAAGTACTCTGGTGATATATTCTGTGAGCTTAGTGGTTTCTTCCAGGTCCAAAGAAGTACTGAAGATGGGCCCTTGACCAATTACTATGATTGGATGGGCGCAGGCCGTTTTGATACGTCTGGTTCTCAAGCTTATGAAGAAGTGAAGGGCGTATTCTTCAATGTGTTCGTGCACGTACATTTTCCATTTGTTGGCGGGAATATGCTGTAGGTTGGTGCCAATGTTAAACTCTAGGATGATGAGCGTTTTTCTATTGGGAGTTTCCATTATCTTCTCCACAGTGTTTAGTACTCCCTGGTCTGCTGGCACCTGTATCCATTTTCCAGATTCATCAGGGAAACCTATAAGACCAGGGTAAGAGGCTGTCGCATGGAGTAGTTTGGCCGAGTGCGAGAGGTTTAGCACTCTAATGGCTTGTTGAACGTGGATCCCTGAGCGAAGCAGGATGTTTGTTCCTAGAGTCATAGCATCGAAGTTTGTATCATAGTTGTCGAGTAGTCTTTGGGGAGCTTTGGCGAGAGGATGAGCCCCGGTGGGTTGGAGACCAATTGGAGCATCTATTCTTGTTTCGAATTCTGCGTAGTTGGAAATTAGTTCTGAGCCTCTGTAGAGGAAGTTGAGCTTAGCACTGATGATCGTCATAACTACTTCATAGTTCAAGGTAGTTAAGGTGGTTGCAGCGTCTGTTGGAGGGGGTAGTTTAAGTAGTACCTGTGAGATTAGTTTGTGCACTTCAATTATTGTGCTCGGGCCTGCTCGGATTGACAGAAGTTGTAGGATAAGTTTATCCCATGTGTCCGTGTCGAAGTTGAGTTTGTCCGCTATGGACAGGTCTGGTAACATGTTCTTGAGCCTTTCGTACGTAGATTTTTGCCTGTGTGTGAGGTTGAGTCGCAGTGAAGCTACAGTGCTGTAGAGTGGCGTATTATAAGCATGTCTGTCAATAATGTGTAGCTGGGCTCTATTAAATACTTCCAGCATGTCCTCCCCTATTTTGCCTGATATGATCTTACTTATTTCATAGGTGTTCGGAAATTCGGTTGTCCTGGGAAAATCTAGATCATGGAAGTCCACGAAGTGTTGGAGAGCTGAAGTAGGGAAGATGGCCCTGCAAGAAGAGCAGAAACTTTGGAACTCAACATGGGGAGTCATAATTAAGTGAAAAATGAGTGACGCCGTAGAACGGAAGATGGCCTGATGTTCTCCGCACACTGCAATAGGTGCTGCGGACTGTAAGGCGAGCTCCAGAGTTGCAGGTACATTTTCCCCTGTGTTCTTTAGTTCTTTAAGTTGTCTATTACTAATCTTTTCAGCGTTGAAGGGGTAAAAGTATATGGGATCAGGGGAGTATCTAGTCATGATTTCATCCCAGGTTGCTTCTAGTGTTGTGGTGATAAGCAGCGCTCTGCAGATGTGAGGAGGGAGCCGGTCAAACTCATGTCTTTCTGCGAACTGTCCTTGTGACACATGGCCTGGTAGATCGATATATGTTTGGAAGCATTTTCTACAGCGGCTGGTAGGGCAATTGGTGTGAGCTAAGTCAGTAACGTTTCCTTGTGCTACAATGTCTCGAATTTTTGTAATATCAATATCCTGGTAAAGTTGATCGCATGGTAAACGTCTATCGCCTAGTATTGCATGACTTGCCAAATGTATAACCTGGTTTACTGTAGGGGCCGCCTGTGGGGCTAAGGGTAGTTTGTTTTCCTTCAATCTTTGTAGCTGAGCACGGTTGAGTCCATGTCATTGCTCCTCAAACGTCCTGCGGTTTTCCTGTGATTCACTAGCTTCCACAGTTAGCACTAGCTGGTATTCTAATTGAATTAAATCTTGTTCACTTGGCTGGTCTGGTGCTAGGTTTGCGTCAGGATCATTTTGAGGCAGATCCAGCTCCGGATCTAACTCGAGGACTGGTAGATTGAAAACTCCCTCCGGGAAAAAATCTTCCTCTTGTAGATGGACATGTAGGTCTCCTATGTCCACTGGTTGATTGTCCACAGGGTGTAGGACTACATAATTGTTATTCGGCGACGGGGGAATAAGGTTCAGGCCGTCGAGATTAATCGGTTCAATTGGACCCTGGAGGAGGATCTGGATGATTTCCAGGTCAGCTGCGGCATGTAGGTCATTGTCTGGAGGAATAGGTAGTTGGTCGTCCAAGGGCAGAGGGTTATGGTTGTCGGCAACAGGGTTAAACTTTTTGAAGGAGTAGGTCGGGGAGGTCATTATGAAGGTGATCCGGAGGGCCATTTAAGGCCTGGAGGACGTCGTCAACTACACCTGCGTTGGCGTCAACAGGTTCATTTGTAGGCGACGGTGAAGGTCCTGGCATCATTGGATCCATCCTAAAGTTTGCAATGTTACAAAAAATATAAGAGTTCTATGAAGTACATAAGTTGGTTTTGTTTTCTTTAAAATCAAAAATAGGATGATTGAATATATTGTTGTACTGTTGAATGAAAAGGTATAAAACGTTGAAATTGCGACAAAATTGAGATATGTTTGCAATAATTGATTTTTTTTTTCAATGTAAATATACAGTAAAAGGTTAAACATTTTGCCAACGTTTGAAGATTAAAAAGTTTTTGGAAAATATGTCAAATTTGAAATCAATTGAGATATTATTGAGCATTGAAATATCGTAAATTTTGTAAAAAAAATTTTTAAGTCATATTGTTTTTAGTTTGGCAAATATTTAAGGTTAAGTTTTGAAAGTTAAATTGTCGAGAGATTTTTTTTGAAAAATGAAATATTTAAAAATTTTAGCATTTTAGATTTTAAATTGCGTAATTAAATGTCTTATTAGATGAAAATAAAACTATGTGGTTAAAATTGCAAGTTTGAGACTTTTGATATTTTTTTTTTGAAACAGAAGTTTGAAAATATTCATTTTTTTTAAAAAATGAGCACAATTTAAAAGTTTTTAATTTCAAGTAAAGTAGAATAAAATGTAATTTTACAAGTTTGTAAATTTCGATTGTATGTATGTATGTATGTATGATTGAAAAAAAATTTGGTGTTTAAAATATGAAATATTTAGGTGTAGCAGAGAACAGATGAATGGAATGTAATGTACAGTTGATTATTTAGGAGAACTTACAGAGGTAGACAATATCACTGTATGTTAAATTAAAAGATTGAGATATTCACAATTTTCTATTTTAAAATTTGTAAAACTGCATTGGGGTAAAAATAATTGGCAAAATTACGGTTAGGGAACTTTTACGATTGAGATATGCAAATTTTTTTTCTTAAAAGGTTGAAGTATGTAGGGCATTAACTTAAACATAGCATCATAGCCAAAATTGCAGTTAACAATTTCATATGATTGAGATATTTACATTTGTTATTTTAAAGGTTGATAAAATGCAGAAAAATGATATATTAAAATTGGTTACTTTTAAAGTTTAGAAAATGCAAAGATTGAGATATTCAATTTTTTATACTGTAAAAGTTGTAAGAGTGCAGAAGAATGAGACATTCAAATTTTGTTAAGTTAAAAGTTGGAAAAATGCATTGGTTTCTAATTTAAATATAGCATGATAGGGATGGAATTAAGTAACCTTTGTATTCATGATTTTTCTACTTAAAGGTTGAATTTTGATTTTAAATGAATTGATTAATTGATTAATTGATTGGACTTAATAGTTTCTTGTGTAGCACACAAATCTTACACGGTATTTGTGTGGGGGAACAAGGGACAACGACACCATTTTTCTTAATTGCATATCAGCCATCCGCGGCTGTGTGGGTGGACTTTCCACACAGTGAACAGTATAACTTATTTAAAATCTGTTTTTAACTGGAGTACCTGCGTTTGCTCCAGCATTTAGCTGCTTTACTGCTACAGTTGTCCTAGGATAAGGGTTATGTCTATTAAGATAGTTCGGGGAAGCATTTTTATTCGCATATGTTGTTTGTACCCTTAAAGGTCTAGAACAGGGATATTTATCATAGTGCAACGGGTATCTTCTGTCTTTAGAGTCTTTGTTATCTCTATATCTTGGTCTATAGTCAGGTTCTTCCCCATTTTTCTTAATGTCATCATTTATCTCGTCTTGGAATCTGTGTAAATATCTAATGAAATCAATGAACAAAGGTTCTGTAGATTCATCTGTTTGATCTGTCATAAATTGATTAAATTGTGTCCTGACCAATTTTGAGGATGCGGGGGGTAAAGCTCTAATTAAGGTTTGTGATGCCTCCGTATTTGTAATGGTCTTCCTTTGGTTTTCTTTAAAGAGTCTAGCTGCCGCCGTTGCCAATTCCAGGATTTTATTTTGTGCCGTGAACAAGTCCCATGTCTTAGGTATTTTCAGATTTGAAAGCTCAGATTTAGATTTCAATGGATCCAGACTGTTGTCATATACGTGTGTAAGGTGATGATATAAAGCTGGTATGGTGTCTCCTTGTTCTACCAAGTTTCTGATTTTTCATGAGCTGGGCCAGTAAGAGAAGTCAGAAATTTTTGTTTAAATTCACTCTCTGAGAGGTTTAATCTATCTTGAGCATAATTAATAGTATAAAGAAATTCAGACAGAGTGGGGGGTTCATCTTTTCTTTCGCTAAACTTTGATTTTGTATTTGTGGGGAATAGTTTCAATGCTTCAGAGGCCTTGGATGCTAAGTGGAGGACATTTGTGCGCTAAACTTGGTGGGGGGTTTGAAGCGCAGGTTTAAAAGATGAAAGCTCAAGTTTTTCTTGTAAAGATCCTGTTTTAATTCATGTTGGGACTTATCAATCAGTGCTTTTACAGTGTCTTCATTTAGGGTCATTTTATGATTTAAAGCATCAGTTATCTCATTCAAGTTAATGGGGCTTCATGTTCCTTTAAGTTATTATTATACTGGTTAAAGACTTTAAACCATGTCTTTTTAACTAGGTCTTGTAGAGTTTCATTTAATGAACTTTGTAGTATGGGGTTATCATGCAGGGTTTTATACTCCTTGTTTGACAGATTTACATTTATAGTTTCATTTACCTGGTTTTCTTCAGGATCTTCAATGTGGGCATCTCTGATCTCATCCCCAAGAGTTGACAGAGGATCCACTGAACGGGAGCGGGAAGCAGAGCGCTTTACTCCAAATGGCATGACGGCGTTGTATTCTGGTAAGCAGTTGTCACGTTCACTGTAACTTTATGCGCAGTTATATTTAGTTGCACTCCTCTATGCTTTGTACTAGCTTTGTATTGTTGCACTGTAACTTGAAATGTTTGTAGCAGTTTTCTATGTCCACTTGAACTTTATGTAATTTATTGCAGACGCACTTTTTTGTGCTCTATTTATCTTGTTATGCACTTGGTATATTTGCCCCTTCTGTGCTTTATTTAATTAAGTTATTTTTGTTGTACTGTCAAACTTTGTTGCTTTGTATTATTCTGTTCACGGTAGCTTAAGTATTTTTCTTTATTCTGCGCACTATATTTCACTGATGCTATTTGTTGCACTTAAAGTTTAGATGTCTGTTCACTCTTGGATATTCTATTTCTTGCACTGTTGTAGAGTTTAAGTACTGGCCACTTAATTTAATTTCTGTTGACCCTTTCTAATGTGCACAGTGTTTTATTAATCAGAAGATATCTTGTAGGTACCTCTCCCGTAAGGTAAAAAATATGGTTCAAGTGTAGCGTTAGTTAGGTTTCTTCTATATGCGATGCGAGCTTCCCAGTCGCTTATCAGGTTTGTTGCAAAGGTTGTGATGTCACTGAAGTAGACAAGAGCGATGATAAGTATGATGACAGTTATTCCACAGGATATAGGTCCGCACATCGGCTGGTGTTTATTCTAAATATGTATAAAGTTAGTTTAGAAAATATTCAGAAAGTAATATATTATATGTTTTTACATTAAAATGTAATATTTGTACTAATATAATGAAACCACAGAGTAATTAGGATATGTAAAATATAAATAAGTAAGCGCACCGGGTCTGGTCCTTATAGATGTACCACTTTATGTTTAGTAACTCTTATACTGGTCGGTTAGTTACTACATATTACTACCATCTTACTACCAAATGACTATTCCTAAATATTAATTCTTCTCTATTCAGGATGGATCTCAGGAGAGAAAACTCCACTGGATAAACTGATAACTACTATTAGATCAAATAAACTAAATTTTAAAAGAACTTTCTTTCTTTCATTAAATCTAAGACATTTTATGTATTCATACTTAATCAACGTCGCCTTGATATTAATTGCCACGCGGGACTTTTATTCGTTGATTATTTTACGGCTGAACTAATCCTTGGTTCAGTGAAAATTCAATTGAAAAGACTTAGACTATAAATAGATAGGACATTGAAAGCTCATAACGGAGCTTATACTGAATCAACCTTGTTTCAATGTTAAGTTATTCCTGTCATGTATTTATGGAAATGGAGCGGACCTTGTTCTATATGATGGAGACAAAGTTCAGAGGATTAGATTCCTTGAGGAAGGAAATATTCATGAATAGGCCTCAAATGATTTGAATTATGGTTTACTAAAATTTCTAAGTTCAAGACCGTCATATAAATTGTTCTGAACAATTGTTTCTAAGACATGTTACCTTATGGTTATATTAACTATTTTCTCCAATATTTAAGTCCTTTTATTGGAGTTGATTATTTTCTAAGTATAACTTTTGTAATTTACATGGAGACATTTTAAGAATTATTCTAAGTATTCTTTCTAAGTTAAGAAGATATAAATCAATCAATCATTTATTTACTAAGTCCATATTAGTCAAATCAATTTTAATATTATGGGGGGGGGGGGGGAAAAGGGGAGAGAAAACTCACTGACAAGAGGGTAACATGGTTAAATATACAAACTGGGGTTTAAATACATGCAAATTACTTCAGAAATCAAATATCTCTGTACTTAATAAGGATTTTACAAAACAATCTCTTCTGTTGAACTGAGATCCCCAAAGACCATCCAAAAAACTAATTTAAGCTAGAACCTATTGATCTTGCATCAATACAAATTTTACGTATATAAGCTATCTATGTTTATTTATATGTTTATTTATTTATTTTAGCTATACATGTTGCAAATAGGAGAGAAAAAAATAGCCTTTTTTGGTTGAAGGGAGGAAAAAGAGGATTTAACTTGAACATTTCAGTATTGTAAATCAGAATATAAATAGAATATTACTGCAAAAGTTATTTATGTATGTCGTCGTCTGACATTCAATTATATGATTGTTTGATTGCTAGATATAATCAGAAAACTCTGAAATAGGAAGGCTACTTTAGAATCAAGTAATTATAACCAATAAACATGAGACAATTGTGTCGTGTAAACATACTCATTTCCATAAATTAGTGATGTGTATTAAAACTATTTGCTTTGTAACAACATCAAATATTGCTATGATATCGTATTCCAATTTCCTTGTTTTCTGGTAATCACTGTATGCTACAGTGAAACCCTTGATAACGAATACATCGAAAGAATTCATCAAATGTCGTATTCTTCACTTTCTGATAATGGAATGTTGCAGATATTTACTTTTTTAATTAAATTATTATACGGAACTCTTTAAAACTGTTCCTGCATATTCATGGCTATTTATTTATTTTTGCAAATACTGAAATTTACGTAATTTATTATAAAACTCATTAAAAAATTGTCAAGACGACATTTGATAAATTCTTCCGATGTATTCGCTATTAAGGGTTTCACTGTATTTAGAATAATATTTTTGCGACGCACTTTTAGTGCTTATTTAGTCCTTGTCAATATATTGCGCATGCATCAAAACAAGTTGGTCTGTTTCTATAAATTGATTTTAAATTTTGATTTTCTATTCTTTGGGAAAATGCCTTCCAGAGACTAGATACAGGGTGTTCCACGAAACATGACAGTAGCAAGACGACTATAGAAAGTCGACTTTGATCTTCGAATTTTCTTGTGAAGTCTTCAACCTACTGATTAGTGAATTAATAGCCAGAAAATTCTACCATTCCTGGAATTTCCTAAATGTGGTCTATCTTTTTGTGCTGTCAATACTACCGAAGAGATCAAGAATTTCCAAACCATTCTTTTAAACTATGGTAGAAATTTAACCATGGTAAAAAATCTCTTAAGTTCCGGTCTCAGATTTCAACTTTATTAAATAAAACCATTTTTTTTTATCTGTACGAAATTCTTTATATCTTCAAAATAATGAGAGCACAATATTTTGGAAATGCAAAAACTAGAAGTATTGTGTGACTTTTAATTCTAGAATTTTACTTCTAAAATTAAGTTTAAAATTAAATGCCGCAAATAATTTTAAAGATTTAAGACAACCTTCTAGTCGATATACTTCTGTCATGTTTCGTGGGACACACTGTGTGACTGTACATTGTACAATACACATGAATTTTCTTTGAAAAATCTAAATTTTTGCCAAACAATGATGTAAAGACAAATTTAACTTTCATGTCATTATTTTGTAAGATTAATAGGCCTGCATGTCTCACTCTTATCCTTTGTGGTTAGCCTTGTATATTCTTCCAGCCAAAATAGAAGATGTGTAGTGTGTACTGTGTACTCATTCAATCCTTAAAGCAGAGCAGTCCGCCATATTCCTCGTGTACCGGGCCAGAGAGATGTTTAATTTTTGGATATTTTTTTTCTGAGATTTCTTCACCTCTTATAATCCTAGGTATATCCCCTGGCTCCGGTAACTGGGCAATGGTCAATGGTCAATGGGCATTCAAATGAAATGAATAAAGAAATGGAAAATACTGGAAAATATAAAGATTGGCCTCCATTCCTCAACCTTATTTAAACATATTGGTAGGTACAGTGTGTCTAACTAAACAGGACAAATAAACAACATCGCCAAATTAAATTTCAGGTTTGATCGAAGTCTTGCATAATTATAATTATATTCGTTTTACAAGAACTAAAGAGAAGAACAAAAAAGTTTTTGAATTTCTGATATAGAACTGAATAGTATAGTTTTTCTCATACATGGACAAAACTTATAAGATCTACGAGGTTACAAAGTTGTTCCAGGAATTTTACTTAACCTTTAGTCGCTATGTTTAGATTAGACTGCAATAAAAACACAGGTCTGCTTAATGTTTTGAATAGTATTTTGAATCTTTTTATTCAAAAATCTTTAATCCAATTCTTTACAGTTTACACTGTACACTGTACAATGCTAAATTATTACTAAGTTATATTTACAATTTATATTTCTTTATTTCTTTATATTTGTAATTAATAAGACCTCTAATATTATTGCTAAAAATTCCTTTCATAATTTAAAGACCAATAAGACCTCTAATGTTATTGCTAATAAGTCCTTTTATAAATAAAAGCTCAATAATATTAAAGATGCTGCAAATCCTCTTCACGTGACTAACAAACAAATATAAATAATATGTTTTATGAACAAGACACATTTGCTGTTAAGAAAGTGTTATTTTTAAGCTGATAAGTTTTTTCAATGTACAATTAAAAAGTCCTTTTATATTAAAGCTTGTAAAAGCTGTATTAACTTGATTGTCTACTGTCCAAGGTCCTCTCTGTGAGGAAAATCTGAAGCCATAATCATTACCACAAAGCCAAGAAAGAATACAAATTCTTTTAAATACCATATATTTCAAGAAGAAAAAAAACCTTGCAAATCATTAAATCATCTTCTTTAAATTTTTCAGAAACCAATACAAATCTTGGACTTTTTAGTACCTAAAAGCTGAAACGCTTTTTAAACTCACTTAGCTTCTGCTTAAATATTTCTTCTATTTCAAAACAATAACAAAACAAAATTGTGCGGGTTTTAAACAAAAATTTCGTGAATTTTTAAAAATTAAATGAAAATCGACTTCAGTTGGAGGCTAATTTTTGAAATTTTGGTCATTCATAAGCCTTCCCTTGGGTCTTGTGAGGTCCTACACAGCATTTGGGCCCGATCGGTACAGTTTTGATGTTTATTGGATACACACACCCTAACAGATAAGTATATAAATATATACTAAGCTTTTAAGGCGCTTTGCGCCTATCCTTAATGATTAATTTTAATTGTTGCTATATCTGTGAGCATCTTCTCTTTGTACAATATAAAACAATAACAGAAAAATTCGAGGATTTTCAAAATATTTTTTTGCGGATTTTTTAAATTTCACAAAAATCAAAAACTTTTGGATACAACGTTTTGTCTATATACTATTGACTATATACTTTTAGTTATAGTATCATTCAAGTAATTCCGAGCATCTACCTTTTCTGGGGTCCCACACAAAATTTGGGCCAGAACGATTCAGCCGTTTTGACGTTTATTGGAAACAAACAGACTAACAGACAATCAAAGTATATATGTACTAGGCTTTTAGGGTGCTTTGAGCCCATCTTCTATTTCAATTGTGAATATTTTCTCTTCGTATACATTTAAAAAAAACACACAAAAATTGCAGATTTAAAAAAAATGTCGTGGATTTTTAACATTTAATGAAAATCGAATTTTGTTGGAGGTAAATTTTTGAAATTTTGATCATCTATAAACCTTCCCATGGAGGCATGTAAAGTCCCACAAAAGATGTGCAGTGCCCGATCGGTTCCGCCGCTTTGACGTTTATGGGATACAAACAAACAAGCAAAAGCCCAAAAAAGACAAGCAAAGTATATAAAGATTAATTACATGAGAAAACGTTGTGCAGCTACAGAAAGATGGTTCCTTTATAGTTTAATCGATATGCTGTGAATGAATGATCTTCTACCTTTTTATTATATCTTCTCTACATTGCATCTTTAGTTGCCAAGTTTATGTTTTAGAGTCATTGAAAATTATAGATTTACAGATCACACAGCTCACAGATTAAAGAGATCCCCCTATTGTTTATCCACAGATATAAGAGAACCCCCAATCCATTTTTTATTATTATCCCAGAATCCATAGATTAAACAGATCCCAAAATTCATAGATTATACAGATCCCACAATCCATAGATTATACAGATCCCACAATCCGTAGATTATACAGATCCCACAATTCATAGATTATACAAATCCAAAAATACATAGATTATGCAGATCCCACAATCCGTAGATTATACAGATCCCACAATCCATTGATTATACAAATCCAACAATCCATAGATTATACAGATCCCTCAATCCGTAGATTAAACAGATCACACAATCCAATGATTTTACAAATCCAACAATCCATAGTTTATACATATCCCACAATCCATAGATTATTATACAGATCCCACAATCCATTGATTATACAGATCCCACAATCCATAGATCATACAGATCCAACAATTCATAGATCATACAGATCCAACAATTCATAGATCATTCAGATCCAACAATCCAGG